ATATATTACTAAGTCCATGTTTGAGTCACATTAAAATTTTCATTATCATTCTTCTACTCATTTCCAACCACACATTTTTCAATAAAATAATATTTTCCATCATATCAATAACTTTTTTTTCTTTTTTAACCACACATTTTCCATCGTATCATTATTCAAAATCACTTATTCCTCCAAAAATCTCGCCCACACAAGCTCTGAAATTAATTATAAAACATACCGTATGCTAGCTAGCTCGCTCACCGTCGTCTCTGGCGCCCCACCGGTGATTTTTCCCCGTCCCGATGATTGAAGCAGGAAAGGAGCACTGCCGAAGAATGGATTAAGTGCTGAAGTGAAACTTGTCGACTGTCTCTTGTGCCCTTGAATCCGACTGTAAGTTTCCTTTTATCTTCAACGACGTCAAATCCCATTTTTATGAGTTAGCCCTAATTTAGAAAAATGACAAAATGCCTTACGCCCACATGTATTGGTCAGTAATCTAGATTTCCAGTTCGAGGGTCCATCTGGCATCTATTTTCTTTTGATTCCGTGTATTCTTCAAATGATTTCAGTTTTTGAATAATGAGCATTTAAAAATCAAAACTTTAAAGATTTTGATCCAACAAAATGGCACTTTTTGGAAAATTAAGATGGATTTCGAGAAGATTTACGACACTTGCCGCGACTCCTTTACGTATTTGTGTTGTTGGTAGTGGACCTGCTGGCTTCTACACTGCAGAAAAGGTATTTTTTCTGTATTTTTTTGAAGGTCAGTTGAATATGTGTTTGTATTTATGTTTTATAAATTTATGTACTATTGCTGTCAAACAAGCGGTACCATATTTGTCGTCTCATTTATTTATTTATTTTTGGAATTTTCTAGATTTTGAAGGCACATAAAGGAGTAGAAGTTGATATAGTTGACAGATTACCAACTCCCTTTGGATTAGTGCGGTCAGGTGTTGCACCTGATCATCCAGAAACGAAGGTATCCAAAAAAAGTGGGATTATATATATATATATATATATATTTGGTTAGTTATCTGGTTCAGCTGTTATATTACTTGTTTATACATATTTTTATTTTCTCCGAGAATAAAGATTCTTAATTGGACTTAGTTTATGAGAAAATTCTCAACAGATAGTGATTAATCAGTTCTCTCGAGTTGCACAAAATGACCGTTGCTCATTCCTTGGGAATGTGTCTGTTGGTTCCTCCGTATCTTTGCCTGAGCTACATGAGATGTATAATGCGGTAAGATACTGGGTTTAGACAAGGCATTTGGTCAAGATAGATATTTTCTTTCTTTATTTGTATTTGCTGCCACATTACATATGGTAACTCAAGATGAAATTTCTCTTTAGGTAGTACTTGCATATGGTGCTGAAAGTGATAGAACTCTTGGCATTCCAGGAGAGGTACTTAAAAATAAACTTAGCATGTCTATTTGATGTGTTCCCCTTAATGATTAGTAGATTACGATGTTGCTCTTCCTAATGGTGGAGTGCTCGTAATTTAAGTTCAATAATTAATGAATCAGTTCTCATTTCTCTTTTGTACATTATGTAAGGAGTTGGGTGGAATATATGCTGCTAGAGAATTTGTTTGGTGGTATAATGGGCATCCAGACTGTAGAAATTTAGCTCCAGATTTGACAAGCAGTGATACTGCTGTTATTCTTGGTCAGGTACATTATATTGCAAAATATATGCTGCAATTTGATGGATGTGAGATTAATCTTTTTATTCAAACTTCAAAGTATTGCTGTGTTTAGACTATTTAAAGGGTTTATTATCAATAAATTGGTTGGTCAATTACTAATGATTAACAAATCACATTTATCCAAATGTGATAGTCTAAAGGTCGAGCTTCATACTTTAGGAGGGCCGAAAAGAAACTGGTTAAATAAGTATGAAGTAGCTTTAGCCTTTGTTTGATATATATTAATATATGAAATTTCAGAAGTAAATTGGATTTTAAACCAACCTGAGTTCTTATAAGATTGATAAGATTTACAGAAATTATGCTTCCTGTTTTCATGATGCTAACTAAATATACTTCAACAAAGAATCATCTCAATTTAATGAACCATTCGACTTATATATGGAATTAAAATTCCAAATTAACTTCTCGTTCCATGTGTGGGTACCAGTCTCCAGTTTACCACTTTATTGTTACCAGAAGTACATACAACAGAAAGAATTTTCTGTAACTTTTCATTCCATATATATCAATATGTAGAATTTTAGAAGCAAATTGGATTTTAAACCAACTCGAGTTCATATAAGATTGATAAGATTTACAGAAATTATGCTTCCCGTTTTCATGATGCTAACTTAATATACTTCAAGGAAGAATCGTCTCAATTTAATGAACCTTTCAACTTATATATTCAGAATGAAAACCCCAAAGTAACTTCTCATTCATGAGCGGGTACTGGTCTCCGATTTACCCCTTTATGGTTACCAGAAGCACATACATCAAAATGAATTTTCTGTTCTCAGGAACTTCATTGCCAAAGATTTTGCTGTCTTCTTGACCATATGCTGTACTTGCTGTTAGGGTAATGTGGCTCTTGATGTGGCTCGAATTCTTCTACGGCCAACAATGGAATTGGCAAAAACTGACATCGCAAGCCACGCATTGGCTGCTTTAGAAGAGAGCTCTATAAGGTTTGACTTCTGCCATACGGTATCATTCAAACACATATTAGCAGAATTATCAGAGCGGTAATTGAGTTCACAAATATAATTGTAGAAAAGTTTATTTGGTTGGAAGACGTGGACCAGTACAAGCAGCCTGTACTGCAAAAGAACTACGTGAAGTTCTTGGTAATATTATTTTACCTTTTCCTATCCATAGTATAAGAACTAATATATTCGGTAATTTTTTTTATCATTTTACTAATGCCCTATATTTGGGTTTCAAGATTGTTCTCTTTATCTGTATTTTGTTCAGTACAAGTGGATTATTCCCTTATGCCAATGCAACAAGTAGTTTATTTACTAATATTATAATTGGACCATTGGTATTCACGTCTTAGTTCGTTATATGACTGTGAACATTAGATCACAATGACCTGAACATGTTGCAGTTTCCTTTGCTTCAATTTGAAGTCATCTGGAGTGTATTTGTCTTCTATAATTGATTGATGGTCATGTTGGAGTTGGGGTGGAGGAGAAACTTTGTAATGACATCTGTTTGCTGCACTTGTCTAAGATTTGGAATCACATCACTCAACTGAAAGGAGGGGCTCTAGGAACTCTGTAAATTTGTCTGGATGTTTTTTATAGAATTGCAATTTGCAAATATGATGTAGTTTTTAGTAGGCATTGTAACCTATATCATTAGCTAATATATGCGATGTTGCTATAAAGTGTAGTTTTAACTTGTAAACCGGAATCTTGTTGCAGGCATTAAAGACATCTCGATTCAAGTTAAGCAAGCTGATTTAGTTACAACTCCAGCAGATGAGGTAAATTTTATATACAATAACTTTTGTGCCTTTTGTTTCATAGTTAATTCAAGCTATATTTATCTATCAAAAAAAAGTTAATTGAAGCTATATCCTTTCACTCTAGTTTTATATTCGATTTTATGCATTTTCACCATATCCTTGGAGTTTGTTTATTTCATAACTTGGCAAGGTGGAAATGAAGAACAATAGGATCCGAAGGAGGGTTTATGAGTTGATTTCGAAGGCAGCCTCATCAGGACATTCTCCTCCTCTTCCAGGTCAACGTGAACTCCACTTAGTCTTCTTTCGTAAACCAGATAGGTTTCTAGAGTCAGAAGATAGAAGTGGCCATGTTGCTGGCGTACGCCTTGAGGAGACAACTCTCCAAGGTAAATTTCCTTGATAATTTCTGTTGAAAAAGTCTGTAAGAACACTATGTGCTTCTTTTTCTTTTTTAATTGTTCCTTAGATGTCATAGCACGTGAGCTTATGATTCGAGTTGTATCCAGCATCAAAATTTCACTGTTGAAGTATGCAAATAATAGATAGTTGCCACTTTCTTAATTTTTATTCAATGTTTTCCAGTTTAATCAACTCAATGATTAGGGAGATGAGAAAACATTTGGAATGGCATGAGGAATACTTTTATGCATTTAGGGTTTGTTTGGGATGTTTTCAGATAAAATGACTTGAAAGAATATTTCATTTGAAACTTTTCAAAAATTGCTTTTAGTAATAGTGTGAAAGAGAGCGGTGGGGTGGGGATAAGATGTAGCTGACCGACTTATAAGATGATTAGAATCAAATGAAGTGATATGTTCTGGAAAATAGATTAAGTATTTTTTATTTTTTGCGTGTGCATATTCCGATTTCTGATATATATATATATATATTCTCCTTAGCCTTTGGCCCTTTGTACATTACAAGAGGCAGAATCTTTTCAATAATCATGCTTTATGATTCTGCCTGTGTAACATATTGCGATGGTAAAAATTTATTGAGGCTGAGGTGAAGATCTTGTGCACGAAGTAACTTAATTTTATCGGTTCGGGGTCGGTTCGGCCAAAACTATAACCGCACCACCAAATTTTTGCCATACCATAACCGCACCATAACCACGAAAGTCTGTTTGGTTCGGCTCAATTAATATCTCGGTTCGGTTAATAACCACGAAAATAAATTATTTTTTATAAATCCAAACACCAACCGTCAAATTGAAAATAAAATATATGAAGAAAAGTCAATAAAAA